AAGCAGCAGGAACCTCATCGTCTCCCAGCGCAGGCCAGATCATTTCAGAGGCTATTTCCAGCCAGTCATGCAGTCATGGCCTTATTTACTCAGCGAGCACCCACTGAGCACCTGTGCACCCCTGAGCGCGTGCTGGATGCGAGCAGACCACCCTCAGCCCGGAGGATGGGACCCCAGGCCGGCCCTGGCTCCGCGGGCACGGAAGGTTTCCACGGGAAGGCGGCATGGGAACAAGGACTTGGAGGAATGAGCAAGAGTGGGTGAAGTCCGACTTCCTGCAGGAGTTGTGGAGGAGTGGAGAAGAAAGGGGTTCCAACGCTGAGAGGTTAGGGGCGGGGCCTGCACAGCTATGCGCCCTGGACTCCTCCCCCCGCCTCGGCCGCAGTTCAAGCCCTTCCTGCTCTGACCACCAGAGGGCGCACGGACCACATCCCTGGGAATCCAGGACCCCCCGGGTCCCGCCGGGCCGCCGAGACCTAAAGCCGGCGCCGCGCCGCGAGTGCATTTTCTTTCAGACTTTTTTTTTTTTTTTAAAAGATTTTTCCTATAGGGTGCGTGTGCTCACCAGAGAAAGTGAGAAATCACTCCCCAGCCGGGCGGCCCCGCCATAGTCCCTTCTCCATTCTCCTCTTGGGATCTTGGGCACGCACATACTCCAAGCATGAGTTTTAAGCCACCGGGTCCGGGACTTGAACCATGGTCGACTGTATAGGAATCCCGTGACATAACCGCTACACCATCTGCTTGTCTCTCTTTTTTTGTTTTTTACTTTTTTGTTTATATTTTTGTGGTACTTATTTATTTATTGAGATTTTTGCTATAGGGCATGTGTGCTCGTCAGAGACACAGAGACAAAAATGAGAGATCAGCCTCCAGAAGAGGTCCCAATCCCTTCTCCATTCTCTTCCCGGGATCTTGGTTCTGCACCCACAGGCACCCGGTGTGAGTTTAAGCCTCTGGGTCTGGGACTCGAACCGCGGTCACCTATGTGGGAGTCCAGCGATGTAACCGTTTTATGATACCTACTGGTTCCCAACTTTGTTCATCTTTACTGGTGTGTCGCGGTGTGTGTGTGCGCGCGCGCAGGTAAAGACACATCTGGGGAGGGCTCAACCTGCTTCCGAGTTCTGTTCAGAGACGGCACCCACGTGGAATGCACCACCAACACCCAGGCCAGGACGCAGACCACAGCCTGAACCCTGCACAGGTGCGGTGGGGAGACGCAGCAGTTGGGGGGCCACCTGGCTGCCAGCCGGGAGGCCCCTGGATTCCCTCTCTCCTTCCGAATAATTTCTGACTTGCGGAAGGGGCGCGAGCGCAGCGTTCCTGTCCCAGTGAGTCTCTATCTGGGACAAAGTCGCCCACCACGAGGTGTGCTTCCCCCGGCCCAGCTCCGGGGCTCCCGCCGCACCCGGCGCTCCCTGCTGCCGCCCGCCGGTGTCCTGGCGGCTCTGCACGCTCCGCGTCCTCGTCTCACTCGGACGCCGCTCAGCGGACCTCCACGCGGCATGCGTCCCGTGCCTCCAGCCTGCCCGTGACGGAGCAAACAGACCCAAGCCGCACCGTTCACCCCGTGGCCAGGCAGAGCAAAGGCCGCCAGCGTAGCAGGTCTGAGCCGCGCAGGCCGGCCCCGCAGGGCAACAAGCAGGCGCCTTTCCCAGGGCGGCGTGGGCAGTCGGCCGCACAGGCCGGACCTCGGCAGTGCGGGACCCCGCTCCCAGCTGCCCTTGTCCCGAGCTGGGCCCGGGTTGCCTCTCAACCAATGGCCAGCCAGAGGGATGACTGACATCACTGAGGCCCGTGTTCGGCCAATCGGCAGTCACCTCCCAGGCCGAGGCGGGCCCTACCGCTTACAAACCCCGCTGCCTGGGTCCTGAGAAGTCCGGCCTGAAGGCTCCGCGGAGGTGGGGCGGGGCGGGGCAAGGGGACTGAGCACGGCCC